GTGATGTGGCACGCATTCCCGGCCGGCCGCAAGTCCTACGTGTTGGCGTACGTCTCCGGCTCACCATTCCGCCCCAGTATGGCGACATCTGGCTCACTTGTAGAATTGTTCTAGAAACACGACGGACGGCCGGCGGTTCAGCCACAGGCCCGAGCCGCCGCAGCCGGTGCGCAGCCTCAAGATCGATTGGGAGGTCGACGTGGGCTCCCTGGCGAAGGGCGTGAAGCACCTCGACTCGCCCTCGTACCAGCACAAGGGCTACCACTTGTACGACTCCCTTCACCTGTATAGGCCCGCTCTGATGATGACGCTCATTTCTCTTTGCTTCGCACTGTGCAGTGCCCTGCAGCTGTGCAGGGAGAAGCAGACCGACCGCGAGGGCTCGTCGGTGGGGCTCTACGTGTTCGCCAATAGCGGACCGTCCATCGACGCCGCCGGTGACGAGGGCAACAAGCCCTGCTTCCTGCCCGTGACCTCCCAAATCACTGTGCGCAATCCCAGTACGAAAGCCCTTCTCTCCCTGAGTGTGTGTGTGTGTGTGTGGTGGGCAATATGACGCTCACGATCCGGCAGTTACGAGGGAGGCGCAATCGGTTGGCACAACGGATCACTACACGGGCCTCAACACGGCCTGGGGCTGGAAGGACTTCCTGCGCCCGATCTCGTGGGAGGACATGCTGGCCAAGCGGTGCAACTTCGTCTCGCCACACGGCACCCTGGCCTTCTCCGCCACCATCCACCTTCCCACCCCCTTGTAACCAACCAACCAATCACCTCATCGTGATTAAATCTCTCAAGGTCATGATTGGGTGGTAAAATCAAGTTGTGGTTCAAAAAAGAGGAGCAACATGATCAGCAGCGTTGATTTATCGCGCTCTGCCAATTGAGCTACCCAGCCGTGTGTGATGGCCGGGGTGAGTTTCGATCTCACTGCCGCAATATTGTATGTTCGAAGTAAGCCACTCGACTACCGGCACTCCTCCAGTAAGATGTAGTGCATTTATAACAAGTTGTTCGCGATTTGGAAAGAGAACACTGCCTTACTGTCATCTTCACCTTCTTCTTCTTGTGGTGGCGAAGGTAGGGTGGTCTGGCCTCCGTCTCCGGAGTGTCTGTGCCCTCGTCCTTCCCGAAATGGTGCGTTCCCTCCAGCGGAATGTCTAATGCGCGCAGCATCGTGGTCATTCTGCATCGTACATTGTCAGACCCCACCCATCGTGAGTTGACTTGGCCCAAGGAATATACACAGAGTCGTTGCATACAGGTATGTCATCTACGTACCCGCAGGTGGCCTTCTGGTCTTGTAGAACTTCTGGTAAACGGTCTTGACATTGATCCTGGAAGTGGCGTGCACTGGTGAGTCTTGTTTGGTTGCCAGTTCAGCAACACAAGCCAGTTAAGATGCGGTGAGTAGGGTACCACTGCTGCATGAACGGAGGTACGGGCAGGCCCAGCAGGTCGCAATTCCGCGGCAGCGCGTTCTTGAAGTCCCAGTCGCCAGTTGCTGCTGGGCTGTGGGCGCGTGAAAAAAAAAGACAACAAGAAAAGCGAACAGTTTTCCAGCCATTTTTCTGCTGAAAGTCATTGAGACCATTGGACAGGAGTATCAATGGAGGTGAACATAAGGTGGTCAGCTCCAAGTTGAGCATGTGGTGTGGACAGCCAGGCTTCTTCTTCAACTGCTTTCTCCCTTTCTTCTGAGACAGGCCTCACAGCACCCCTCTGCTTGACAGGATTGAGAAGACACATGAGGAGGCCAAGGCCAACATCATTGAGAATACCTTCAGCAGAGCACTCAAGAGTCTATGGGAGACAAAGTCAATCAAGCTCAATCCAACAAGTGTGGCTGTTACTGGAGACAAGATCATCCACTTCCTCTATCACTGCTATTGCCTCTGTGGTGGCAATATCAACTGCTTCTCAAGCATCATGGCCAGGCTCATGTCAGCTGGCTTTGCCATCATGTGGGATTACATGCTGGGCGCAAAGGGGAAGAGTGTCAGGGTTGTTGCCAAGCCTCTGGTGCAGAACTTTCTGGATGGCATTGCACACAAACCCAACACATATGCTCAGTGCAACAGATACATCGCCAGCAAGATCAAGCAGCCTCTGGCACCAGCTACAGCAACATCACCAAGTTAGCCATCACCAATCAGATCATCCACACATGTGATCAACCTCTTCAAGAGCTACTCTGCATGTGGGGTCTCAAACCAACACAGCAGGCAGATTTCCTCAACAGCATGACCATGCACACGAGGGTGGCCACTTCAATAGACAATCTCCCATCCCATGACCCTACCAATTTCATCTTCACTCCACTGTGGCGCATCACCATGCCACACAACAGGATCATGATGCCAGACATTTCCTTCTTCACATCAAACCAGGACAAGGACTACTGCCTGGTCACAATTCAAAGCAAGGCAACCAGGGCTAAGCTGGATAGCAGCGAGTTCAACAGTGCAATAAGGAGCACAAGTACCTCCCACACCCTACTAACAACAACAACAAACAAC